AAATTTGTTTGACATTTTTCTGTTAACACAGTAGGAAAAGTGTCGCAGAGAAAAATAAATAAATACGACATCTGTCATTTAAAATTATAGGCTAAGCAAAATATAAACAAAACCGAGTTGAGCATCCACACTTTGCTCCATCCTTATTCTGCTCTGTCACTCATCGACAACCTACCTGTTCTGTCTGAGGGCCGTATATTTACCACCGGTACAGCCTGCTCTGAGCATCGTTATGCACATGCTGCGCACAGACCCCGCAAATAAACCAAGTAGAAAGCATGCGTGCAGCGCACAATAAGAATAAAGAACAGATATGCTTTTCTGCATGGACGTCGGGAATGGGATATTGTTAGACCGCCCGCTCCCGTTCAAATTACACCAGAGTTACCAACCGCTACCGCGTTTTATTTGGGAATTTAATCCCGCGGCGCAAAAAATCTGGTCGGGAATGCAGACCTCTAGTGCAAACCATCGTCAGGAGGCCACACATTCATTAGGTGGATTATATATTTATTATGCACATAACTATAATTACTACGTAATATGGAAAGTTAAAACTATTATCAGACATTGATATAATTTCTTTAGAAAATATCAAAATGTCAACTGCTTTTTAATATGAGATCTTGTCATTAAACCTAATCAATGGCTGGTAGTTGTGCAAATTCATTGTGGGCAAATTGCTCCATTCTCTCAATTTTGATGGGTGCTTCTCCCAACAGTTGGTTTCAGATGTTCAATTGGATTCAAACACAAACTCATATAAGGCCACTTCAGAACGTGCCAGAGTTTTATTTTCAACCATTTTTAAGTGTTTATTGAGGCCTGTTTTGACTCATTATCCTGCTGGAGAACTCAGGACTTATGACTTGATTACAGATCTCTAACACAGGGCTGAATGTTCTGCTCTAAAATGACTTAATAGACCTCTGATTTTATGATGCCATGCACAGGTTCAAGGTATCCAGTGCCAGAGGCAGCAAAACACACCAAAACAAGAGTCTTCTTGCATTTTCTACCATGAAGACCATTTTCATTCAGAGGGTGACAGGTGGTTGCAAACTGTTGCACCTTGTGAACTTGGATTTGTTTTATAGATTCCCTTGGTTCTTTCTATACCATTTGCACAATCTTTCATTGTAATCTTGAAATAATATTCTTCCCACTGCCATGTCCAGAGACACTGGTTATAGTCCCATGAACCCTAAACTTCTTTACAGTGAACACTTCTCTTCAATTAATCTGGCTGAATAAGTATGGAATACTTACCATAAAGTTGTAAACACTGGTGAAACTATTCAGGGAAGAATTATCAAATCAAATATCTCCCAAGAATACCAATAATATTATCCAGGCATTTTAGGATATCTTTGTACTAGTGTTGTCAAAAGACCTGATATTTGGTACTAAAAAAATTAAAATGTTACGGTACCAGGTTTTCTGAAGTACCGGTGGTACGAGTACCCGGTTCTTGATGCGCTATCCGGAAGCTATCCTCTTCGTAAAAGCACTGAGACATGGCGACCTCAATAGGAGGAAACGCATCAAACTAACAAAACACCTTAAAGACCGACACCCCGATCAAACGAAAGAGTTCAAGCAGGTAAGTTTCAATTAAATTTTTTATATTTATAGCTTCTGTTATGAATATTACTCCATAATTTAATTTGAATGTCGGATTGAAATAAACATCGCTGTTAGCATATACGTAGTTGTGTTGTCAAAAGACCTGATATTTGGTACTAAAAAAATTAAAATGTTACGGTACCAGGTTTTCTGAAGTACCGGTGGTACGAGTACCCGGTTCTTGATGCGCTATCCGAAAGCTATCCTCTTCGTAAAAGCACTGAGACATGGCGACCTCAATAGGAAACGCATTAAACTAACAAAACACCTTAAAGACCGACACCCCGATCAAACGAAAGAGTTCAAGCAGGTAAGTTTCAATTAAATTTTTTATATTTATAGCTTCTGTTATGAATATTACTCCATAATTTAATTTGAATGTCGGATTGAAATAAACATCGCTGTTAGCATATACGTAGTTAATCGTAAGCATAAGCGCGGCTAATGCTAATATAATGAGCATTAGAATTAAGTTTTTAATGCTCCTATAACTTTTATTAATGTAAAAAACAGGAAGACATAATGATATTTACTATTTGTACACACCAGAGGCTTTTAAATGAACTGTTTATCCAAAATATGCATTAAGAGAATGTACAAATGTATGGTTAACAGTTTTTAAGTCATATCAGTCCGTCAGAAAAGCTTTTTTTTTTTTTAGTTAGTTAGTTGTTATACTTGGCTGAATAACTCTAGCAGGTTTTTAAAGCCCTTTAAAATTAAATATGAACACAGTTTGGATTAAATAAAAGTACAGCGAAATTTTTATCTCCTGTATAGACTTTACAATGACTTCATGTTATCTAACATGAGTTAGATCTAGTAACATCTTACAGTGAGTGAACAATATATTTTTAACAACATTCATTAATGTTTGTGAATGTACAAACACTTGATCATTCATGTTTGTTCATTGTGCATTAAATAATTTTAACAGACTGAACTTGATTTATGTATTAGTAAATTTTGAAATTAACCCCAAGAAGAATAATTGCTATATAACTATTGTTTATTGTTAGGTCATGTTATCTAAATAATGGAATCTTACTGTAAATTGTTTTTAATACTACAGTTTCCATCTATTTGATATACACTTAATATATGTAATCTTATCTAATTAATTTTTGTTTAACGTTATTAATAAAAAATAATGTTGTTAAAGTAGCATGTTTTTGTGTTTTGCTTTGGTACCGAGAACCGTGGATTTTCACTGGTATTGGTACCGAATACTGAAATTGTGACACCACTACTTTGTACAACAAAAATGATTTCAGTTCTTTATAAAGCTTTAAATTCCACTGCAAACAAAATTGCATGTGATGACAAAAATGTATAATTGAACACTTTTTAGCAATAAATGGTGCCTCATTGGTATTAAATGCAATAAAACTGATACTCAACTGCTGAAAACATGCCTTAATTATTTTAACTAGAATTTTACTTGTATTGACTCTGTTTGATCGACGTGAAGATTCCTCTGATTGAAAAAGCACTCTTATAAACTTTGAGATATCTACCAAATATCAGTAGAACTGAATGAAAGAATTCAAGGATGAAGAGGATACCTGACGTAGAGGGAGCGTTTCTCACTGGTGCGGAGGGAGCCGGAGCCAGAGCTCATGCTGCTGTTCATCATCTGCTCCCTCAAGTCGTGGATCTTGGACTCAAAACGACTGTATTCTGGAAAGAGACAAGGCACACAATCCATCAGCAACACCTATATTTACAGTGATATTCCGGGCTTTGCTCCAGGTTTTATGAGTGGAGGTGCTTGAAGCGCAGGGCAGAGAAGGAAAGCTCAGCAGCTTATTGAGAACTGATTAATGACCTGGAGAACAGATGGATATTAATCATATATCTGCATGAGCTATACGCTAATATCTCCTGCCAGATAATTAATTATGCATATTAATTAAGTAGAACATGCACTATTCGTATTCAGTATAAAGGAATGAAAACCTCCAACAAACGTCGGGACTAGACTTGTGCCGGTATTCGGTAATGCGATATATCACGGTAATTAATATTAGAGGTCGACCGATTCATCGGTTTAGTCAGTGAGAGTCACCTGTGTGTGGGATGGTCAAAGGAGATGAATCCCTGGAACTTTTTCCCCCGTCGAAAAAGACGGTTTTGATTATATTTTTGATTAATTAATAGCTGTTGATTATTTTAGGCTCACTTAAGTGACTGTATTTTTTTTTTTCATTTATAGGGATTTTTTTTTTTTTTAAAGAAAATAATTTATTTTTGTTTTATTTAGCCTGACATGTTTACTGTTCCAAAATGTTCTATATGTTTCTTAAAAATAAAATGTGTTCAGTGGGAAAAAAAAGTTTTTTTTACCCAGACACTTAAAAATATTTTAGAGCTGTAATCGCAATACCGTGAAACCGTGATATTTTTATCTAAGGTTATCATACCTTCAGAATCTCATACCGGCCCATGCCTAGTCGGGACCATAATCATTTTACACAGTGAACAAGGCTCTCGTTTTAGGGAGCAGCACTGAAGCATGATGGCTGATTGTTCGGCGGACTTTTAATTAAACGTGTACACCTCTGCTGCAGTGTGGTCAGGCAACTCACAAGCTTAGCAACCAAATTACACACTGAAATGCACGAGCAAACAAGGATAACGTATAGCCAAGGAAAGACTATTGTTTTCTTAAGCACTGGGATTTACCTTGTAAGTCCAATATAGATCATCCATAACAAAGACTTTATGATTTTTAACCTTATCCGTAACCTTGTATCCAAGGATCAAAAGTCTACCTTCCAAATCTTCCAAAAAACAGAACCTGAGGAAGGAATTCTCATTTTTATGAGAATATGAGAACTTGAAAACTCATAATAGCAGTAACTCCAAGTCTAAAGCTCAACGCAAAGTCGAAACTTGGACTTCATTGTCAGCAGAAACTGCGCCTGCAGGGAGCTCGTCTGTAAACGCCCTGTCTATCACAAACGGGTTAACAACATGCTGGAATGACAGGGCAAGGTAAAGTAACCTGACACCACCTGCCTGTAACCAGGGGAACACCCCAGCAGAGAGTTGGAAGGAAATGGCTTGACAAACTTCTTGAAAAAACAATTATAGCAAAAAAAGAGAAGCTAAATGTACTGCATTAGAGAGAACCTTGTTTGCATAAAGCTTAGTATTCTAATTAGACATCACTAGCTTCAAATTCACTGCACTCATCTGATAAAGAATAAAGTAGAAAGTAAATTCACCCCACTGGTCAGACACTCTACGGGTAATACAATACACATATGACAGACGACACAGACAGCTGGGTCCTCTCAGCCTGTCAGACACACAGTTCACAACATTCAAAGGCTAATGCTAAAGCGCAAGGTCTTCGTTGTGACCCGTCAACACAAGATCTGGGGAGAATCTGGGCCAGCTCTGCCTCACACTCACATGGCCTCACTTGCCTTCATTATGTGCAGGGCTTTTATTTTTGGGGAGTGGGGATTGGCTGCAGGCTGCCTCTTTGTCAATGCAGTTACATAATATTGCAGCCATGTGCTTTCAATGTGAAAGCATGTATAGGCACTAGGTTATGATTAGTACAGCCCTCTTAACAGGCATGCAAGTTAGTACCACAAACAAATTTTCTTTACCGAGTTCTGATTATTTCAACTGATTTCTGAATTAATGAGCAATATGTAACATCTCACAATTCCATGTGAAAAGACATTTTAGTATAATGATGTACAGTGTGAAAAAAATGCATATTTCTTTTTGTGATTTGCTAAAGACTAGATTTAACAGTGTCATTAAATTATTAGTTTTTGAAGATTACCTTAAGTGAGCATTAGATGACAGCAAAGCCGACCACTACGGGTCGATATACAACCAATACTCATAAATAAAATAAAAAAATTAATAATATCAGTCAGTAGCCAGTATAGTTCAGACATACTATACATCCTTAAAAAAATAATATAATAGATATACTATACATTTCTAAAAACAATTATATAATAGATATACTATACATTACTAAAAAAAAATTTTTTTTAATTAAATAAAAATAACATCCCGAAAAAAGAACTAAACTGCATGAAACAATTATTTTATTATGCCAAAAAACAAAAACTTGTTTGAAAAAATTATTTTTTTTTGTTTCGAATTTTCATCCTTATTTTGGTGTCCAGATTCTTTAATGTTTTTTTTTTTGTTTTTTTTAACATGGAGCTATAACAGCTATTTTGCAAATGAACAAGTTTCGGTTGCTCTTAGTGTTCCAGTGCATTATGTATCGATTAGATAAAAAAGATGCAACCTGAAGTAGTGACAATTTTTCTGCATCGTTACGTACATTCAAGTTAAATTAATTATTGAAAATAAAAACAAATGCAGTCTGGGGACTTCAATCTACTCACTGGTTGTTGATTGGATGAAGGCAGATCCGAATGTGAGGTTACAGCTGATTGTAAGGAAGGGGTGGCGTTAAGTGGAGGAAATGATTGGATAACTCCGTCATTTCACCGCCAGATTGATTTATAACATTCATTACAAGGTCAAAAAACGATTTTAAATTTGCAATAAGTTTGCAATCAGATCAATAGCATGAAATTTGAAAATATATAGGGCAAATTTTCTTTTAATGGTTTAAAATATATAAGGTGTAATTTATGTCCTTAACATGGAATGCAAGGCCAAATAAGAAAATGTGTTGTGAACGTTTGTCCCTGCTAGAAACAAATGCAGTTCAAGTTCACTCACTGTCCCCTAAGTTAATGTATGACAAGAGGAGTTCAAATTTGAACAGAAGCCAGTCTACAAATAGACTCTGTTTCTTTCTTACACACACACACTCAAGTAAGAAGCCATAATGTCTCTCATATTTCTGGTTCCCACCTAATTCAATGAGCTATTCTGGCACAAATTAATGTGTCACTTCTATTTCTATGTAGACGTAAGAGCCCTTGGGAGGGAGAGGCAGGCCATTTATACTCCAGGAGCATCTGACTAAGGAGGAATATGGGGGAGAGCATGCCGAAACAGATAACTTACACGGCAACATTCCTGTCATTGCTCACATAGACACCAGAGAATGAACTATGCACTGACATACTAAATATTAGTTACAGTGGTTATTAATGCACTTCAAATCTTGTCAAGGTCTATAATTGATTTCCTATCCTCTGTGCCAGTCAGATGTATCCACGTTTTCTGATTAGTGTTTACAGCTAATTAACACCATCTTTGACATGATGTTTTTGGTCTAGAGAAATTATTTGAAAGTGTCAAATCATAATAAAGCAGCAGCAACACATTTAACATAAGATAAACAATATTACAAAGTTTTGTGTTGTAGTTTTCACTGAACTACAAAATGACAGTAATGTTTAGCATTTTTAGGTTAAGTGACTTCCTGAATGGGCCCTTCCCTGCACCTGTCCTCCTGATCTCTGCAGGAAGCTCCATATAATAACGCATTGAACAAACATGACGAAGAAACGGCAGGCCTCAAAGAGCAAATATACCGGATCATTCTGACAGAACTAAAGTTTAGTTCAAAGGTGAACTACCCTACTCTTCTTACTGAATGAAAGCACCATATTGCTTATGATAATATAAAATATTTATCACTAAATGACTTACTGCTGCCTTTTGTCGTGTTTATGGTTTGAATATAAAACATTTCTCGAGAAATCCTCGAGCAAACAGTTTACCTGTGTCGCGCAGCAACACAAACCTTCACTGACTTTAAACGTATTAGGCTAGAAACAACCTTCATGACGTCAGCCCAACGGCTGAGCAGCTTCATAATTGTTTTCATGACTTTTATTAATCTTTAAACGCACTACACTATGTTGAACATGTAACTCGAGACAACAGAAATCCATTGTGAACACAAACAGCGACGCTTTCCCTTTTCAGCACAGCATGTTGAAGCACATAAAGCAATTATACTGCCAGTTTAACGTATAATAAAACCACACTGTGTTTTCCATACTTTACACAGATATTTCCTGAAAATACTCTATGAATATGAGTTGAGGTGATCTTACCCGGCGGCGTCTAAAGCGCTGTGTTCAGCTCAACCTCTCGTTGTCCAGCTCACTCCAAAAACATTTTAGGTAACTTAAGATAAAACGAGTCAAACAATGAAGAATAAACTAGCGAGCCGCACATCGGCGTGAGGAGGAAAATGTCGTTTTCTTAAGTTTCGAATCGACACGAAAGGTAAATAAATAGTAAAGAGTTTAATGAAAATGTGTCGGTCTGTCCTGCTTCGCTCCTCCCAATCCAAAAGCGGCACCTTCTTCTTTAAAACCGAGTCTCATTCGCGCTCGAGACGCGGGATTTCAATCCGTCCCGCTCACGCGACCAGCGCGCGCTTATTCCATATCTCCTGTCAAAGAGACTCTTGTGATCCAGCAGATGAAACCTAACCCTGCGCCAAAAATAAGCTTTCAAGCGGTAAAGTCAGGCTCTTCCGTCACTCTGTGGTTTTCAGTCCATTTAATTCTTTTCCCCCTCTTTTTTTTCTCTCAGGTTGATCCCTCCCACTTCTGGCACAGTTTCACCAGTCTATGGTTTCACCCCAGTACTTTCATTCAAGCGAGTGAACTAGTGTTGGGAAGTCCGAATCATTTCAGTGAGTCGGTTCTTTTGAACAGTTCATTTCAAAGACCCGGATTCAGTGATTCTTTTACGTCATCGCACGGCTCCTGACACCCGGTGTGGCACATTAAAACGTACCGATCAAGCCACACACACACAGGCCTATTTCCGATTAGTTTCGTTAATAAAAGTAATAATAGGCATCCAAGACTCCTAGTTCAATTAGTTGCAGCCGTGATTCATCTTATAAACAAATATTTAGAATCTAAATATCATTTGCGGCAATGAATTGCTTATTGTGAACCAGTTCAAATAATTCTTTAAAAAGATTCGACTCAAATAATGATTCATTCCAGTGAATTCCAAGAAACTTCAACACAGTCACGCTGTTTCTATGCATAGATCTGGATAAAGCTTTATTATTGAACACTTCACTGAGCAGAGTATGTCAAACAAAAATCTGCCCCCTTAATTCTACAAAAGCCAACCAATCATCAGTCACTGAATGTCCTCATTTGCAAATAAGGATTCTTTCTCATAAAACTAGGCGAGGCTAAGTAGTTCACCTTTCTTAAAGGGACATGCAGTAGTATGCCGTTGTGATGGAGTGATAACAGAAACAGGCAAGACACAACAGGCACACATGGGTGTGTGAAGAAAGCGAGAGCAGTTTGGGGTCTTGATGCAATAATCTCACATAATATTTCTATATTTCTAAGTAAAAAGGTGATCTTTTCTTAGAATCACACTTTAAATGATTTATTGCTCTTAAATGAATCATTGCATATTTTAAGACCCTATAAAAAGCTAACTTGCATGCATCAGCTCAAATCTCTTGTCATTGTTAATCTCATGCATTGTCCTCTAGGGAGCACATTTTCTTTTGCAGTGACAAACATCATGGATACACACTGAAAGAGCCACTCTACCTTCTGGTCTGTACTGGGCAATGATGGTCACCGTCTGTCCAGCCCTCTTCAGTGCAGCAGCAGCCTGCTCATGGGTAGCATTGCGCAGGTTTACACCATTCACCTGGGACAATACCATGGTAACAGATTAAAACAACAACCCCCACACGCCACACACTCACGCAAATCACATGATGCAATGCCAGCTCTAAGACTTCATACCAATTTAAGGAGCAGATTGTATTAGGAATCATGAAAAAATCCATTCCTCTTTCTTTCCATATAATATACACTGAAGAATATATATGGTTGGGGTCAGTACGATTTTTTTTTTTGTAAAGAAATGAATACTTTTATTCACCAAGGATGCATTATATTGATTGAAAGTGGGAGTAAATCAATACTGTTCTTTCTATTCATCAAAGAATCCTGAAAAAATTTTGGTTTCCACAAAAATATTAAGCAACACAACTTTTGACAACAGTTATAATAACAAATATAATAAATAAACAGCAAATCAGCATATTAGAATGATTTCAGAAGGATCATATGACACTGAAGACTGGAGACTGGAGCTTTGCAATCACAGGTATAATTACATTTGATAAAATATGTGACCATGGACCACAAAACCAGTCATAGCTAGCACAGGTATTTGTAGCAAGACCCAACAATACATTGTATGGGTCAAAATTATCGATTTTTCTTTTATGCCAAAAATCGTTAGGATATTAAGTAAAGATCATGTTTCATGAAGATATTTTGTAAATTTCCTACTGTAAATATATCAAAACATAATTTTTGATTAGAAATATGCAATGCTAAGAACTTAATTTGGACAACTTTAAAGGTGATTTTTTTCAATATCTTGATTTTTTTGCACCCTCAGATTCCAGATTTTCAAATAGTTGTATCTCAGCCAAATATTGTCCTATCCTAACAAACCAATTTAAAAAAAAATGACCCTTATGACTGGTTTTGTGGTCCATGGTCACATATGTATAAAATATATTAAAATTAAAAACAGTCATTTTAAATTGTAATACTATTTCACAATATTTCTGTTTTTACTGTATGTTTGATTAAATAAATGCAGCCTTGGTGAACATAAGACTATGGAAGCTGGTTTCCACCACGGGATAAAAAATAAAAAAGTCAGAATTGGGAGATAAAATATTGCAATTACCCTTTAAATAGTTTTATTCCATGGCGGAAACTGGCTTCCATATAAGACACTTTACAAGACACGTCTTGTAATTTTCACTATTTGAACACGAGTGTCATGGACAGTTACTGACCGATAGGATGCGGTCTCCTCTCCTCAGCTCTCCGCTCAGGTCGGCTGGCCCACCTGCCAAGATGAAAGACACGAAGATGCCCTCTCCATCCTCGCCGCCCACAATGTTGAATCCCAAACCTGTGGAACCCTTGTGCAGCAGGATCTTCCGCGGCTCCCTGCCAAGCAGAACCACAGTGTCAGAGATCAGGATGGACTCGGATCACCACAGCAGCAAGGAGAGGACGAAAGACAGACATGTATGTGCAATGAAAAAATAAATATAGAGGAAAAACCACATTAAGAAGTGAGAGTGGGGTGGTTTTTAGACATGTTTCAAAAATATTCCCAAAGCTTCATTCATTCCAGACTGCAGCAAGAAAGAATGAGAATTCAGAGGGCAAAGGAACAATAATAATATTTCAGTCTAGCCAGAAGGTAAATTATTATTTTGCATTTCGTTTTCCTCCTGTCGTTTACAGTGAGCGGAAATCGAGATGAACAGATTCATGAGAGCACACAACGGTCTAGTCACGACTAGAGGAGACTGGCAAACTTTCATCCACAACAAAGCTAAACAGCAAGTGCTCCAGATTTGTTCCAGAAATGAGCGCTAACACATACACACCGATAACTAACACACTTTCACACTCGGGCACAAAACGCGTTCACACATTGAGCTCATCCCTGCCTTGTGCAGGACTGCGGTACTGTTTTAGCAGCCGTGATTCATCAGCAGGCAGAGAGGCATTCCAGACTGCCCAGATCTGGCACACCAGCAAGACTCAACTACATTCAGCAGCCGTCAAAACCCCTTTCCGAATGTACTGCAGAATAACACACGAAAACCAGTTCCCTAAAATGCAACACACATCCACGTTTGTAGTGACAGCTCCCAGCTTTCAGCAGTGCAGTACGCATGTTTCTCATTAGAATTCTGCACTACCACAGAACTCGGCTGGCTCTCGACATGAGCCATTCCACCTCCATTGCCCATGGTACAGCTTTATGATGCTGAAAACAGCACTTTTATGTGAGCGGATGACTTGTGCTTTTAGGAAGTGTTTTGTGCATATATGAAACATACATAATGAACATATAGACTGGAGTGTGAATCAATTTACTGAGAACCTTATGTCCATAAATTTAATGAAGGTGGTAAACAGATTTTAATCACCTTTTTTTAGCTCCATTTATTACATGACACACTGTAAAACCATGGCCTCCACAACAGCTCCCTGCCTTCTGCCTCTCTGATGAATCTTTTGTACACAATGTTATTTTTTTAGTTCCTCTCTATTGCAGTCTGTCCCTGCTGTAAGCTGACAAATTGAAAATGCTCTCACACACACACATACATGCTAAACATCTGTGATTGATTACCTGCACATACTGGAACCAGAATTAATTTCATTTGGTTATCCTGTTTTGAACATGCAATGTAGAGGTTGATACTTTACAAACAAACATTATAATTAACCTGTTAAAACCCTGAAGAAATGCCAGAAAGGGTTGTAAATAATTTGAAAACTGAAAATGTTTGCACCCTTGTAGTTCAAGAAATTGAATTTCCACAGAAAACTGAAATGAAATGAAGATGAATTTAAATGCCATTGGCAATGGGTTCCGGGAAATGAAGTGTTGTACTACCCTGCTTCTACCATCAGGCATACAAACCTTCAAAGCTTTTTTCAAGAAAACTTTGTCAAGGCAAGGCATTTTTATTTCTAAAGCACATTTAAAAACAGCAGCGGCTGACCAAAGTGCTGTACAATCTAAAAACTTAAAACGATCAAATACACACTAAAAGAAAATACAATACAATAAAACAGATAAACTAAACTAAACTAAACTAACTCAAGCCAATATTCAAAGTTTGTTTTCACAAACATTGCTTCTATAAAGCATTCTATTCTATACATTCTAGCTAAAAAAAAAAGTCATATGAATTTCTTTGAGTTTCCTTAAATTCAAATTCAAATTGCAATTCTATGTTTGCTACCTCAATTTAAATTTAATTTATTTCTGAATGGCACACAACCTGGATACCAAATGCTTTGTTGATTAAATACTAAGATCAGGTTGATTAAATAATAATCAGAAGTAATAAAATGAATGAAAACAGAGGCATATGAAACTGATTTTATGTGACCTGAGTTAATTAAAGGCAATTATTATTAATGTCTAGATCAAACACTTATTAGGTCTAGTAATAAATGTTTGTACTAAATTAAGTGAACATATGCTTTTATTAAAAAGATGGGAGATTAGTACTAAGAATTTATTTCAAATTCATACCTTTTATACCAAAGCAAATAAAGAAATTAACAGCAAATATGTTGCTATTGCAGAGCTGTACAATTCACAGTTTCCCGGTGCACAACAAGATAAAGCAGTTATCAGATGCAAACAGTCACTCACTCAAACCACCACCTGGACCTACTGTACCTGTTCATGAGGGTGATGCTTGTCCGGCCTCGTCTCTCTACATTGGACTTTACCATTGGCAAGGAAGACGAGATGTTAACAGTGAACATGGTGCCTGCCACTAGCTACCCAGCAGGGTTATGAAGAAAATTATCCCAGGACTCTGTATCTCAGTCCAGACCAGCGGTGAATGCCGTATGTGTATATGTGTGCTTTCTCTAAGTGTAGGGGGAGTGATGGGAAACAGCACCACATCGCCTGTCACGCTGTCACCCCTGCAGCAACAGGGTAAGACTTAACTCTTACCAAGCCACTCCAACCACATTACCAAGCCACTCCACTCTTACCAAGCCACTCCAACCATCCAACACAATAACACATCCTTGATTTTGAAGTTATCGATCAGGAATTGATTGGATCATGAAAAGTAGCTTATTCGTAAATGACTATCTTGTTGTATCTGCATGTGAAACAAAGTCTAAGAAGCTATTTATTTGGGTAACATTATGCAATAGTTCATGTGGCCTAAGTGATGCCAGTGCACAAGGAAAGTTGCTTCAGAGGAGAGAGGAAGTTACTTTTTTTTTGTAATTAAAAATGAGAAAGACTGTTGATTTTCTTTGCAATAACTTGCAAAAATGAATTGGTTAATATAAGACCAAAATGTGCATTAAGAGAGTAAAAGTTGTCTATATTGTAAATATTTTATCTCATCCACCCTATTTTGCAAAGTGGAGGGTAACCAGTGTGTTTGCATTATGAAAATACATTAGAATAATAAAAGAAATACCTGTTTGCAATATCAAGCAGCATAATGAGCTATTTTGTACAGCTAAAAATAACTAAGAGCAACTGACACCAGAAGCCTCAAATATTCAAGTCACAAATGACCGTGCCTGTTCTTATGTTAAGAACAAGGTGGATATGGCGGATATCAACTTTTGTAGAGTGTTTATTGTTGTCACTCCTTCTCCAATAATCTCTATGGCATATGTGCCCCCCCCCCCCCCAATCACACACCCCCCCCAAATCTTGGG